CGCTCGAGCGGACCGCCTAAAAACTTAACAACAAGGAAAATGAAACCAAGGCCTAACCAACCTGTAACAACCTTCCTCAAAACATCCTAAAACTCAATCAAGGGGAATTAAAGGACGACAACAAGGTAGACACCACTACCACTTCACGGAACCGAGTCCGGAATACAACAGAACAGTAAAGGGACAACCGGGATCGCTATACTACAGGTGTGTGGGAGAGAAGAAATAAAATTTACTTTTTGGAAGCTAAAATCTTGTTAAAACAGGTGTTTAATTTTTAAAAGATTATGAGATGTTATCTTCAATGCTAATTTAAAAAGTATATGTGCATGTCAAAAGTTTATGTTCACCTTTATAATGCCAAGCCTTTCTTACTACTAAACTATATGAGCCTAAGCCTTGCATAGGAAAACCTTATCTGCGCAAATCTGTCACAACTACTAGAACTTTGGCTCTAGTATCCCCTAATTGGTTTGTACTACTTCATTTGTATTATGTTAATCTGAAATCTAAATTTGATTGCTTTTTAAATACACATAAAGGACTCTTTTTATTTGTCTTCTTCTTCCTTTTGACTAGCCTGTTTGGAAATACACCTTACTCTCTATCTCTATCATCAAATCACTCTATTAGAACATAATATTTTGGATTAATTTCATAGATATCTCTTCGACTATCATTTAATATCTCTTAAATCTATCTCTTAATTAAAAAAATCGTTAGACTTGGACATTGCAGCACTTTTGTTACTGCCTTGTGAGGGAGATGGTGAATTGTTTGGTGGATAGACAATAGTACTGTGCATAGCAATAGTATCAGGAAAGGAAGCATTATTAGAAATGGCTGATATATATATATATATATATATATGCAGATTTAAGTCTTGAATTTGACGTACTTGGAATTAAGTGGGTGCAAAATTGGAATGAGATATGCTATTGCAAACTTGCTAGCTTAATGTCCTATTGGGTGATGGATATATGGATATATGTTTTATGTTGAACTTTATGATTACTGATATCAATATGGATTGATGATTGTTTTCTTTATGAAATTTTCTTTTGTTGAGAATTAGTATCTGTAGCTTATATTTCCATTTCACTGTTATAATTACCTATTGAGAATTAGTCTTTTGTTGAGAATTAACTGTTTACGGATAATTGTTTTCTATTGTTTATGATTATTGATATCAACTTCTCTCTCTCTCCCCCCCCAATTGTATACATGTTTTTAAGTTCAGGGAACAACAGAGATAAATGGAAAAAGTGCATTGGAGACAAAGATGAAGAGGCTAGATTACAAGTCAACAAAACTCATATTCCCAATGTAATTGCAGAGACGCATGACACTGCAAAAAGGGGCATCCTATTTTGGTGAACTAGGTTGATATGGTAGGAAAAGGATTTGTATGTGAATGTAGTTATTGTGAATGAGAATATGAATATCAAGTTGGCTTAAATGCCCAGATTCCTATTTTGGCTCAAATAGAGGGGCATCATATTTTGGTGACTCCTTAATGTTGTTCAAATAATTTGTGTGAATATTTGTTTTTTTTGCACAATGATTGTGGACTATCATTTGATAAGATTTTACTATGTGAATGGGAATTATTATTTCATATTAGTGCTATTTTTTAGTTTTATTATTGGTATTTTTTTAGGTCAATAACATAAAATCAGCATAAATTTTTTATTTTTTTTAAAAAAAGGCTATCACGACGTTTCTAAAAACGTCGCTAAACGGTTGGATTTTTCTTTGGCGAAAAGAGATAAGATGGCATTTTAAAAACGTCGCTAAATATAACTTTTAGCAGCGTTTTTAGAAAACACCGTCTATAGTAATATAGCGACGTTTCTAAAGCGTCACAAAGTTATAGCGACGGCTGCATCTTCGACGTTTGGTGCTAAACGTCACAAAAGGTTTTGATGGCGTTTTTGTGACCTTTTAAAACCCTCATTTCCAGCAGTGTCTCTTCGTAGATCGAGTTTTATCTTTTTGGATTGGGTTGTGATCCTTGGCAATGGTTTCCATATAACAATTGAATTGTATTGACAATATGTATGATTGGATCAAATGAGTTTAAACTTCTTTTTTTGGGTATTGTAATGGCTACACGGGTTTTGATAATCTTGTTTTGTGTTTGATAATGTATTTTATGTTATGCTAATCTAATGTTCTTACCAATCAAGTGTCAGATTGTGTTTTGATGTCAGTTAATCTCTTTGAAAATTGGTGAGATTGCATTAGGCTATGGCAAGAATGCCAACACTATAAACCAATTCTTTTAGGCCAATCAATTATGTATACAAGCCACGAGTCTTGGTCCAAATAGACTACTGCAATTGAATTGATTATGAATGCAAGCCACAACACATTGGCAAGAATCGATTTTACAATCAATTGTACAAGGCAATTTATAAAAACAAAATGTTTTATAATCGATTGTTTAATTGATTATGTAATCATTTGTCATTCCAACTCAATTGAAAGCCAATCAATTGTTCATAAAATCCAAGTATCCACTTTTTTTATGTTGACATTGTTCTTGTTGCAAGTTATATTTTTTTGCATTCAAGAGGTTTGTAAAATGCATCATAGAAGCAATTTGTTACAAACTAGTATTTGATCAACTAGTATGGACAAATGCTGTGAAAAAAGGATATCATAGTATTCAAGAAATGCTATCAAAGAGCTAGCAATTACTAAAAGATTTTTATCGTAACACTTAGTGCATACAATGAAATATCTTTAACAGCAAAATTAGCCAAAATTCTATTTTCATCCAAATATATAAAAACACTCAACTAAAAAAATATAAAAATTCAATTCATTAAACATAAACTCCAATAACAATAATTATATCGTCCTCACAAAATAGTCGGGAAAAAAGTTCTATTTGCTGCCTAAATTTTTATCGCTAAATATATATTTACTGTGACGAAACCATTTTATAGCTAAAACAGTTTAGTCGCCAAAAGTGATATTTTCCCGACTAAATATGTTAGTCACCAACTGTCACATTCCACAACGAAATATGTTAGTCGCCAATTGTTACATTCCTCAACGAAACATATTAGTCACCAAAAGTCACATACCACAAAACATGTTAGTAACCAAAAGTAATATTTGTGTGACTAAAACTTTAGTCGGCAATAAACCTATTCACGACCAAACACTTTGGTTGCCAAAATTAATAATTTTACCAACTATTTATTTAATAGCCAAATGTACCTTTTGCCAAACAACATTTTGATTGCTAAATATGAGTGGTGTGATACTGACTAACAATACTACTTGTCTTTCCCGACTAATCACTTAGTCACCAAAAGAGAAAAAACAAAACCAATTTTTGATCTCCAATTCAATCCTTTTTGTTTATCAAAATATAATAATTCATTCAATCAATTCAATATAACCTCTAAGTTGCAAGAATAATTCAAACCAACAAAATCAATTGAATCATGAACATCCAACAAAATATATAAATCATCCAATTCTTAAACCTTTTTAATTAAAATAATCAACTATTTTAAGTTTTCATCTAGAAGTAATTCAAAATTACATAATCGTCCAATCCAAAATGTCACGTAATCTATATAATCATCCAATTCACATCCATCTAGCTTAAAAATTTAAAACATAACAAGTACTTGTTATTATGTTTCAAATTTTTATCCATACGCATTTATTTAAAAATATAACTAATGGTCTACCCAAATATTTTTCATACACATCCAAAAATATATAATCTTTCAAAAAATGAAACAAATGCCAACTAGTCCTGTACAATTTCAGCTTGTTGCACGAGTTCATCCATCTGTACCAAAAAAAAAAAAAGATAAAAAAAATGTCAGGTAATGTTTTTATGAAAATATTTGCACATCAAATGATTGTAAAATTGGACCCAAAAAAAAAAGATCTATGGAAAGTAGCTAGGTAACATGAACAAGAAAGTAAAGGTAAAAATTAAAATGATACTTTTTATATTTTTTCCTCACATTTTTGTCTCTAATTCTCTAACTGTGTTTCCTAGTGACACGCCACTTGCTCTCACAAGTTTGTTTAATCTAGGCTAAGGTGACCGTGGTGATCTCAAGGCTACTTCCAATTTTCGCCCCCCCAAACGGCCCGTTTTTGCCTTTTTTCTCACATGTTTTTGTCTAAATCTCTAACCGTGTGTCCAAAGAATTAAGGCCAAGTTAAAGAGACAATAGTAAAAGTAAAACAAAGATGCAAAGGCTTCTCAAAGTCATCGTATAAAAGGAACACAACTCACCTGAAGAGAAATTTAAATATATGTTCCAAGGGGTTGATATTCTTGGTAAGAAATCATCCTAGAAACATTAAGTTGAGATGGCATGTTAGTACACTATTGGAGCAATATTCGTTAGATAAATTTAACCCATATTCAAAAACTCAACAACCAATTAAACAAAAGTTAAGAGTTGAGTGATGTGAAATTTTATAAGAGTGTTCCTAACTATTTTCTAATTATATTTTTGGTAATAATAGCCACATGCATCCACATACATTCACTTCAACTTGCCGCATTCAAAATTTTAAAATTACACATCACAAACAAGAAGAAACGATAATCTAGACCCTTTCATTAATATGGAAAATCATATTGGCAATTTAGCATACATTCTAGAAGAAACTATTTAACATTAATTTTTCTTTAAATTTCTTAAAGAATATATTGTATAAATTGATAAAATGTTCAACTATTTTTTTTTTTAATTGTATTAAAGACTCCTATATGTAAATCCACAACAATTGACAAATTAATGTTTATAAATTATAAATCCATAATGGTACACCAAAAGGTAGTGCTATGCTCATGATAACTAATTGATACACAGCTACTTCACCTAAAATTCTGATCGAATATGAGAAACTTAACCTTCTAGGTTGGAGAAAATTTGGAAGAGACATACAAACTACTAGCTTTTCCTTTGAAACTTATAATCAACATGAAGAGTGAATTGATTGCAATTTTACCTGACTACTATCCCCATCCACACGATCACTCATGGCAATTCTATGCTCATACTCAACCAGAGGCCCTGCTTTGCTTACTTCTACAATCAAATCAAATTAAACCCAAATCAAAATGTGAACATCATGCTAAAGATTATTTTAAAAAAAAATTAAAAGGACAGAAAAACAACCTCCTCGTCACAAAGACAAACCCTCGACTTCTTCCACTTATCTTGCCATAGTGCTTCACTTTATCAGCCACCTCTGATGGAGTCAGTTTTGCACCCCATTTATAGCAGAGATTCTAAAAGAAGAATGAAATCGTAACAAATAAAAAAAATATGAACAAATTTAAAGCCAACAACCGTATATATTTAATCATGCATAATGAAACAAGCTCACTTAATCATCTGAAAGTTGAATGACAAAAAGTTTCACGCTTGAGATATACCAAGACTTCTATTTACAACGAATTTTTCTAATATTTATATTTTTTAATGTCAAACTTATATTTACGACATGCATTGATATGTCAAACTCATGCATGCATAACCTAAATATATCCTTCAAATGATTTCATATATGGAAGCTTATAAATAATGATGCTTTCTATTTTGAGGTCTGTCTTAAGTATTAGGAAATTTAAAACAAACCTGGAACATGGATATAGGACCGCAACCAATTTCAATCAGCAACAAATTGTAGAAGAGGTAATAATTTGAAAACAAAAAAACAAAAACAAAAGCAAACCATTCAAAATTTCAATCAGCAATCAAAGAATGTAACCTATTCAAATCCACAACCCAACACACACACACACAAAAAAAAAAATCAAAAACATTAAAAAAAAAACAAAACAAAACAAAACCCTAACCAATTATGATAAATATGACAATGTTAATCTATTGCAACCATTCAATTACCTTGAAGTCCTGAGCAATTTCATGGACAAGCCTCTTGAATGGAAGCTTCAAGATCAGGAGCTCAATACTCTTTTGGTACCTACAAATTTCGTTACACATCAATTAATTAAGATAACAAAGAATCTAAAAAACACAAGAATTGTTATAAATATATTAACCATGATTCAAGCTTTAATTCACTAAGTAGAGAAGAATTTACTTGCCAAAAGAGGTGACTTCCTAGTTGTAAGAAGGGCTACCAAAAAAATTTGTTTATTTAGAACAGCAAAAACCAGTGAACTCAACACTATCATGAAGAGCCAAAGACAAAGGCATTAAATCTGCTTCAAAAACTATGAAATATAGTGGCTAAGGATTTGCAAACCATCATTTAAAAACCAATGCTGTGAAGCCACAATCTAACAAAAGCAAAGTTACTATTGAAGCAACACTATATATAACTTTTTTTTTTATTTGATATTTTGAGAGAAAAATCTAAAAAAAATAGCAAAGTAACTACTAAAACAACATTCCTAAACTTTAGTATTTTGTCGTTATTCATTACTAAAATATAGCAATAACCGTCTGTTTACAATTGAATCATTAGAGATGTTGTTAGGTAATAGCAAGAACATTGCTTCAAGACAACAATTTAGAAGCCTTCAAGCTTCATAAACTAAAATAAAAATAAAATAAAAATGGTCATTATATCAAACGCATTAACATCTACAATTTATTTCACAATAATTGAATCTGATAGCCATTTTAACAAGAAAATTACCCAAACAAGCAGGGTAAGCTAAGAGAGGGTATCTCATAAAATAGGCACAGCCTGGTGGAATTTCATCTTCATGGGAATTCTGAAAGTAGAAGAATTCTACATCACAGGTAGAACGACGACAACAAAGAATGCAGCAATCGTGTAACCTCGTCTAGTTACTACTTTGTTCACAAAGAAAAATGAAAACTTACAAAATAATATATCAGACATTACTTTTGATGGCCACAAACATGGGCGGATGCAAATTATAGGCAGAAGCCTGAATCAAAATAAAAATCTTCTCATTTCCTTTCTTCTGTGGAGCAGATATAGCTTCAAGGTTAAGATCTCCAACACCCTTAGTTGGACCAATGCTGCAACGAGCAGTGTTGTGCGATTCAATAGCATCCTTTATTTTTTTAAACTGTTAAAAGTATTCAAAACCATCAAAAAGTTAGATATCCTTTGAATGACATCTTCAAAAGAAAAAAAGAAAATTCATATTTCACATTATAAGCATGTCTCTCATGTCTATTAGTACAAGTCTTGTCAAAATCTTATAATTCATGACCCAATCCATTTAGAGGTAAATTGATATGTATCACTAATACATGCTGGGGCAGGAACCCATGAGCCAGTTGGGATTCCATAGGCTCTATGATTCCCCAAACCAGCTCCTGGCCCTACAGGCAGAACTGGCCAGGGGTAAATCTTATATTGAATGTATCTTAAGGTGCAAATATGATGCATATGATAAAATGATATGATACACAACACATGAATGGTTAAATTTTCTTTAGCATTGGTGCAAAAGATAAATGAACATTTAAGAAATTAATGTTGTTAAAATGTTCATTTTTTATCAAAATTAAAAAAATGTTAGAAAGGTTCATTAAGATGAATAAGAACTTCTTTCGTTTTTGTCAACTTGCTTCACAAATATCTACTTGTTTAGTATATTATGACATTGATAAGCCCACCCACATCCACTGAAGCTTGAAGTTCTTGTAGTAGACAAAATATTTGAAACTAAAAAGTTGCAAACCAAAGAACGAAGACCTACCTAAAGTGTTAACAGTGACAGAAATATATTATACAGCTCTTACAAGTGATAGACATTTGAGGTAAACTTTCTAAATAGTTCTATTTAGATTTAGAAATTCCTTTTTCTCTTTCTCTTTTCCTTTCATTTTCTTGTATATTGGATTAACTTCAAGCGAATTCTATTTGAAAATACCAAATCAATTTTTATTTTTTATTTTTTTATGTTTTAGTTTTGGTTTTAAATACATAAAGAAACTAAAACTAACAGCATGAATTTCATGCCAATTCAGATGATCAATTTCTAGCAAATTATGTTAAAAAATACCATGAAATTACTTCTTTTTTTTTTTTGGCAGGACAAAAACAAACTAAAACTAACAACATTAGCAGTAGCAGTAATATTACTTGAAAAAACTTTTTAAAATTAAAAATTAAAAATTAAAAGACCTTGGATTCATTATGGCAATGCCTGCAATCAAATATCTCATCACAACAAGGTGCTCTGATCTTGCATCTCCTTCTGTAATGTGAGCACCTGACAATTATATATACACAAATATATATTATCTCCAAATTTTAACCAAAAAAAAAAGGTGAGAGAATCTAAACAAACAAATGGGATAGAAATTGTAAATATTTAAAAAAAAATATTTTAAAAATTAAAGAATTACCCAAAACTTCCAGATCCCATCTCCATCAAAGACTCATCTTCCGACCCATGAGAGGTGTTGCTCATCTGGGGATCCAAACCACTCTCCATTTCTGGGTACGCTCAAAATCTACATCAAACCCACATCATAAAAAGCCAAATTAAGATCAGATCTGCATATACAAATACCAGTATAAATCATATATAACACCCAAAATAATAATAATAATAAGGGAAAAAAGAGATAAAAATCGGACCCAGAAAGCTGAGAAAAAAATGGGATTTTGTGGGAGAGGTGAGGAGTATGAGAGAAACGAAGAGTCCAAGGCTATTAGGTAGACTCCTTTTATGAGAGAAACGAAAGCTGAACCAGTCTCGCCGCCGATTGAAACCCTTCCCCTTCAACCCCAGTCTCTCTTCAAACCCTGTATCTTCTCTCTCTCAGATTAGGTTTGCTCACTGTTTTGAAACAGTGTCGCGAAATTAAGGGCTCTACAAAACTGAAAGGAAATGAAAAAAAGGGCAGGGAAAGGCAAAGGGAAAAAAAATGGGGGAAATTAAGAGGAAAATTTGGGCGGGCCATCCAGTGAGTCAGTGAAAAAAAGAGGAAAATTTGTTTTATTTTTATTTTAATAATTTTTTATTTATTTTGTAGAAGTAGAGGTAATATTTTAATAAAAAATATTTTCTGTTAAAATAAAATTAATTTTTTATGGTCAATGAAAAATATTTTTTTGTGACTCATTTTTAAAAAAAAGGTGAGAGAATCTAAACAAACAAATGGGTTAGAAATTGTAAATATTTAAAAAAAATTAAAAAAGTAAAGAATTACCAAAAACTTCCAGATCCCATCTCCATCAAAGACTCATCTTCCGACCCATGAGAGGTGTTGCTCATCTGGGGATCCAAACCACTCTCCATTTCTGGGTACGCTCAAAATCTACATCAAACCCACATCATAAAAAGCCAAATTAAGATTAGATCTGCATATACAAATACCAGTATAAATCATATATAACACCCAAAATAATAATAATAATAAGGGAAAAAGAGATAAAAATCGGACCCAGAAAGTTGAGAAAAAAATGGGATTTTGTGGGAGAGGTGAGGAGTATGAGAGAAACGAAGAGTCCAAGGCTATTAGGTAGACTCCTTTTATGAGAGAAACGAAAGCTGAACCAGTCTCGCCGCCGATTGAAACCCTTCCCCTTCAACCCCAGTCTCTCTTCAAACCCTCTATCTTCTCTCTCTCAGATTAGGTTTGCTCACTGTTTTGAAACAGTGTCGCGAAATTAAGGGCTCTACAAAACTGAAAGGAAATGAAAAAAAGGGCGGGGAAAGGCAGAGGGAAAAAAAATGGGGGAAATTAAGAGGAAAATTTGGGCGGGCCATCCAGTGAGTCAGTGAAAAAAAGAGGAAAATTTGTTTTATTTTTATTTTAATAATTTTTTATTTATTTTGTAGAAGTAGAGGTATAATATTTTAATAAAAAAAATTCTGTTAAAATAAAATTAATTTTTTATAGTCAATGAAAAATATTTTTTTGTGACTCATTTTTTTTTTGTTATTAAAAATTAAGAGCTAATTTTTTGTGGTAGAGAAGAGGGAGCGGCAATAATAGTAAAGGTGGTGGATAAGAGGTGATGGTGGTGGTGATGGTGATGGCAAAGGAAATTAGAGGTAATAGAGACAGAGAGAGAAAGAGATATAGAGAGAGAGAGAGATAGAGACAAATAGACAGACAGAAAAAGAGAGAGAAATAAGAGATGAGCGAGAGATAGACAAAGAGAGAGATAAAGGGAGCGAAAAGAGATGATCGAGAGAAAGACATAGAAAAAGACAGAGACAGAGAGAGAAGAAAAAGGAGTGAGAGAGGCAGAGATAGCGAGAAGAGAGATGGGCAAGAGAGATAGAGAAAGAAGAGAGATGAAGAGAAGAGAGATGAGCGAAAGACAAAGAGAGAAAAAGACAGAGATAGAGACAAAGACAGACAAACAGACAGAGAAGAGTGATGAGTGAGAAAGAGACAGAGAGAGAGGTAGAGAGTGGGACACAGAAAAAGAGACAGAGACAAGAAAGATGAGCGAGAGAGACAAAGAGAGAAGAGAGATGAGCGGGAGAGATAGAGAGAAGAAAGATAAGCGAAAGAGATAGAGGGAGAAAAGATATGAGAGAAGAGATAGATAAGTGAGAGACACAGAGAGAGAGAGGGGAGAGAGTCAGATAGACAGACAGACAGAGAGAGAAGAGTGATGAGTAATAGAGAGAAAGAGAAGAGAGAAAGGAAGACGAAAAAATGGGTGAAAAGAGATAGATAAAGAAAAATAAAGAAAAAAGAGCGAAAAGATATAAACGAGAGAAAGACAGAGAGAGATAAAGAGAAGAGAGAGAAGAGATGGACGAGAGACACAGAGAGAAAGAGACAGACAGACAGACAGACAGAGAAGAGTGATGAGTGAGAGAGAGAAAGAGAAAAGAGACAGAGACATAGAGAGAAAGAGACAGACAGACAGACAGAGAAGAGTGATGAGTGAGAGAGAGAAAGAGAAGAGAGACAGAGACAAAGAGACAGGATTTGGGGTTTTTGGTAACTCGAGCGGGAATGGAAAAAAAATGGCGGGCCAAGGGGGGGAGATTGGGGGTTACTAAAAATCATGAACTAATTTTTTGTGGTAGAGGATAGGGAGCGGCAGTAGTGGTGAAGGTGGTGGATAAGAGGTGATAGTGGCGGTGGTGGTGATAGTGAATGAGATTAGTGGTGAAGTTGTGGTAGTGGTAGAGGAGATAGAGTAGCGGTGATGGATGAGAGGTAATGGTAGTAGTAATGGTGGTAGTGAAGTGGTGGTGATAATGGTAGTAATGATAGTCGTAGAGGCGGAGTGGCAACAGTGGTAGTAGTTGTGGTAGTGGAATGTCATTTGCAGTAGCGGTGAAGGTGGTAGAGGAGATGGGTGGTGAGAGAGAAATAAGTGAGAGACAGATAGAGAAGAGAGATAGAGACAGAGATAGAGACAGAGTGATGAGCGATAGAAAGACAAAATGGTCACTAAAAGTGCATTTTCTTGTAGTGTCTCGATAAATCGAAGATAGCTTGGTAAATAAAAAAGAAGAGAGAGCGGAGTAAGCAAGGTGAACATAATGAGGGGAAGACAAATAGACAGGCAGATAGAGAGAAAAAGAGTGATGAGTGAAAGAGAGTGAGAGACAGAGAGAGAGAGAGAGACAGAAAGAGAGAGACACAAGAGATGAGCGAGAGATGGACAAAAAGAGAGAGAAAGAGAACAAAAAGAGATGAACGAGAGAAAGACATAGAGAGAGAAGAAAAACAAGCGAGAGAGAGACATATATAGAAATGAGCGAGAGAGACATAGAGAGAAAAGAGATGAGAGAGATAGAGAGAAGAGAGATGATACAATTCGTCCCAGACAAAGAGACAAAGAGA